GCCTGCCAAACTTCATGTTGATCGGTGCAGCGGTTTTTGTGCTATGGTTGACCAAATATCACTGAAAAAAATAAAAATAAAACAAAAAACACTGTACGAAAACAATATGACTCCCTCTTACGCTTCGCGTGCGGGGGTCATAATTAGCATATTACAAGTCTGCAAACAAGAGGCCTTTATGTCAATCAGTGTTTCTATTTTCCAGCGGGTGTGTGCAAAGATATCTTGACCTTAGCTGGAGCAGGGGTGGAGGCTGAGTTGAAAGCAGGTGAGAGCAGAGGATCATCGAGACATTTCAGTCCTCATACAAGTTTAACATCCTCTTACTGCAATTTATTCTGCTGTGTCTGTAGCCAAAGTGAACAGAGGAGATGTTTTTGTGTCCAAGCCTGGACAGTTCCCCTGTAAAGTTCTTTTACACGTGTGTGGACAGAAAGACACAGGTGTCATAGAGGAACTTGTGTGCAAAATCATCAAGCATTGTGAAAAGTCTGGATTTGCATCTGTAGCAATTCCTGCCATCTGTTCTGGTAAGTGTCCTTCCAGATMTTTGTTTAAGTCTCAAAATACCAGCAGTGGGCATGGTTCTGCCAAACAACTAATAGTGGATTGGCTTTTTCACCAACTTTGAAGACTGTTAGGAGACCAGTTATTTTCTGCGAAATTAGTTTTCGCCAACTTTAAGTCCTCCAACAGTTAACTAACAAACTAACATCCACAGGTTTGTGTAAGTTCCACCAGTCTTCAGCTTGAAGGAGAGAAAGACGTGACACAGACTAAGTGACAGTCATTTTAGCGGTTAGCGATTAGCTGTTAGTGTTAGCGTCCACCAATTTATTTACATGTTTAGGAGTTTAGAGTTAGCAAAGTTATTTTTTTAGTTAGCGATTTAGTGAAGCTAACTTTTTGGTTAGCTGTGCCCACCACTACAGCAATACTCACCCTTAAARATTATTACTGAGTTTTCATTTTGGTGGAACTTGGTGTGCAGGAGCTGGCGGATTGGATCCTGGAGATGTGGCTGAAGCGGTCCTTCGAGGCGTCGAAATTGCCACCTCCTCTGCTCGTCTTTGCAATCTCACCACCATTCGTCTCGTCCTGTTAAGAATCAAAGTCTTCTTGGCTTTTAAAGAAAAAGCAACACAGATGTTTCATGTTGAAGCCAGAAGAGGTGATGAGATTCCCCTTTTTAAAAACTTTCCCTGAAGAGTGTTATTTGTCTTCCTTTTGAGTATTTATTTAAAACAAATGTGTAATTTTAAATCAGAATTTCATTTTAAAAATGCTGGAGCTTTTAAAATATAAACGTTTTTCATCTTTCAGTGTCCATTTCTCAGTTGCCTCAGACTCCACAGCAGCCATCTTTGAGTGCGTATCTAAGCTTGCTTAATACCAGCACTGCGACTCAGCAGTCCACCTTCACATTCCTGGGTCTTTGCAGAGAGGATGTTAAGAAAGCCATGGAAAAACTGAAGGATCTGTATAAGACACAGTGCTCTTCTCACACCGTTGAAAAGCAGCACCTGGTGAGCCTCACTAAGGAAGACGTGTTGGAATTACAGCAGCTGATGGAGAGCAAGGGCATTTCCATGCAAAATGATCATTCTGGCAATCTAACTGTGAGCGGTATAAAAGATGGAGTCAATAAAGTTTTTAGTTTAATTAATACATTTGTGCATGGCAACCTCATGGAAAAGGTAAGACTCAAAGAGGAGGACGAGCTGTACACACGTGTGATGTGGTGCATCCTGGGACAAAATGGACACTGGGAAAGACTTCCCAAAACAGCCAATCTCAACTTGGAAAAAGGGGAAATAGCAGYAGGAATACAGGATGTCCAAGGAGTCCAGTGGCAGGTGGATCTACAGAACATGAAAGCCACAACACGTGTAACTTTACAAAGAACAGAAGTGAAACGACTTGAAAATCTGCCAGGTGAGAGGAGGGGGAGTTTTACAGCACTGGTCATGTTGCATGTACTGTACTCAGATGTTGTGGGTCAGGATGATGTAACAAAGGAGTGGACCACAAAAACATTGGGCAAACATTAGCTTGTGCATTTCCACATTTCTATCAGACTCAGCATTTTATACAATATAAAATACTTCAGGTTCAGGTTTATTCAAGTCCCAAAAGGGCAATTAGTGTTACATCATTTATGAACCAGACATGTCACACCAGAGCACAATATGAATCCAACATACAACTATTTCAATGACAAAATTAGAGACATGGCACTGAAGTGTACAGATGAGCCTAAACGTTTCTCTGAACCTCTCCGATGTGCTGTGAGCCCACAATAACCTGGGCTTTCTAACAGAAAAAAAAATTGAGTAGACATATGAAGCATGACTTTGTCTTATGTCTAAACTGTGGCTGTGTCTCAATTTAGGAGCTGCATCCTCCACAGTGTACATTTGTAGGTTGGTWACATTGCTGCACTGCGCCGAAAGCTGTCCCATTTTTTGGGTCCCTCAATGCGACAGACAAATGTGGCCCTCAAAACCCTACACAAACAATTTATCTGACTAATTTTCGCAACCCACAATATCCCAGAACTCATTGCACTGTCATCAGTTTTTACAGAAAAATTAAAATSGTGTTAGCAAAGTCATCACYAACCAAAGAATTCATTGTATAGCAACTTATCTGATTAAATTTATGCTGCAATGTCCTGTTAGAAAACCAAGTACTGATTTTGGAGGTAAACCCAATTTTTTAACGCCTGCTGTCATGTACGTATGTATGTGTAGCATTTTTAAAACTACATTGACTTCTGAGAAAATATACTTCATATGAAAAGATGTGTGAACTTGGTCCCAACTATGGTAACAGGGTAGTGGCCATGCAAACATACAGTACATCAGCCAAAAAACTAGACCGTCTCATTGAACAGCCTACTTGATCCAGCCTACATAGACTTTGAAGGGTGTGGTCTCCATTGGCTGCAAACCCCAAATTGGGATGCAGCACATGTCTAAATTTGGTTGGTTTAGATGATTTTATTGGAGATGAAACCAACAAGTCTTTTGGACCCTTTGCACTGTTTGAGACCAATTTGTCTTTCCTGACCTAATGAAACATGAGAAATCCCTTTTCTGTTTTATATATTTTCAGACTTTATTTTCCCTCTTTACTGGGACAGCATGACTACTGGTGAGGCTGTGAAGGTGGTGGCCCTGCAGCCTTCCTCCAAGGAGTACAAGACAATAAAGCAGGGCTTCAAACTATCCTGTGAACAGACTGTATTAAAGGTCAGTAGTAAAAGGGTGGCTAATATAAAATGTAATTGTGCTCCCTCCTTTTCATTTCTGTAGATGACAGACTTTATTGAGGAAAGATGGAGTTTTTATACTCATTATTTCATTATTTCGTTTTAAGATAAAATAGCATATTATTTAAGTAATTCAATTCAATACAAAATACTTTATTGTTCCCAAAGGTAAATTAAAGTTTGGAACAACCCATTCAAGAGAGAGACAAAAAAAA